CTTCATTTATCATACTAAATTTTTAGACTTTCAAGGTTTTATATTGTATTCAAGTTTTTTCTTTTTCGGAAAGAAAAATAGGAAAATGTAAACCTTTTTGCACCAGAAAGCCTTCAGGTCTTTCATTTTAAAGTTTTCTGGAAAGGATATTAGTAAAACCATAGCACACATCCACCCAAATCCATTTTTCTGTCCAAAACTATTGCGACGTCTCAATATGTAAACCCTATAAATCAACAGCGACCTTAATAACAAAGTTCCAAATTTCAGCTGTATCCCTTAACCCAATACCAAATTTAGTACGCATATCCAAAACAATATACAGGGGGAGATGAAAAAACTGAAACCAACTTTAAACTTCTGTCATTTCTAAGCCACTCGTCCGCCAGCTGTTAAAATTATTCCAGTGACAGCTCGTTATATTTTTTACAAGCGTAATTTCAGATTTCTAGTTCTATTCCTTGACCCTTTTTTAAATTTACTACTATATAGAACTTTTCGTACAATTATAGTACATATTTCCAAAACCATCTCTATATCAATTCCAGATACCAATAGAGACCTCAATAACAAATTTTGAGAATTCCCTTCACTCAATACAAAATTTAATACCATTTAGTAGTTTTCGTGCAAATATTTCCAACCAAACGCCAAATATCACACACAGATACCATCAGTAATATTAATATCAAATATCTGAATTTTATACCATCACCCAATGCCAAATAACCATTTAGCACTTTTTGTACAATTATAGTACACATTTCCGTAACCACATCGATATATCAAGGCTACACACAAACAGCGACCCTAATACCAAATTTCACATTTCAAGCGCTATATGTTCACCGAAAACCAAATTGTACCAAATTTAGTACTTTTTGTGCGCTTATGGCACACATTTCCAAAACCACCTCCCTATCACAAATCTACCCTCAACAGGGTTTTCAATACAAAATTTTAGGATTCCAACTTCCTCGGTTCACCCTAAACCAAACAGTTCCAAATTTTGTACTATTAAGTACAGATCGCACACTTACTAAATGGTTTTGAAATTTTGTATTGGGATCTCTGTTGATGGTGGATTTGTAATAAGGAGGCGGTTTTGGAAATGTGGCCTTTAAAAATCACCTTCATATCTCGAATTTACTTTCCATCTTTGATTCTCATACCACATTTCAAGTTTTTAGCTCTATAGGTTCACATAGGACCATTTAGTACCGTTTTAAAAATTTTCGTAACCATAAAGTTCGAATTTTCAAAAAACCTTTGGTACATCTATTCTGCACTCCATCAGTGACCCTCATTCCAAATTTCTAGCTCATTCCATTTGTCCAATTCAAAGTAAATAATTTTTAGTACATTTAAACCATTTGTATAAAAAGTGTTTCAAAATAGTACGGTTTAATCCGATTTTTGTTATTTGCATAAAAACAACGTAAGCCCACGGTTTCGGAAGAAGCCAGTTCCCTTGGTTTATCACAGCAATATTGAAATGCAGTTTGACTACAACAGAAAGAAACCAAGTAAAAAATCAGCTAAGTTCGGCCGGTACTAAATTTTTATACCCACCACCCATTTGGAAGAAACTTGAAAATTTCAAAAAATTCCCTCAAAATATACGGCTTAAATGAATCCCGCTATATGGGGGCTATACGAATCCGTGGTCCTGCATAGATGATTTGTGTCATAGGCTGTACTAACGGTTCCGAACTTTATATACGAAATTTGAAACAATTCCGGTGAATAATGTCGCAAAAATCATCAAAATATCGAATATTTGGAGGTCCAGATAAATGGGCGCTATGCTAAAACGTGGACTTATTTAGACAATTCTCTTCTAAGAGGTAAAGTACTCAAAAAGACCCATTGTGTGGATTTTCAGACAATTCCATTGAAAAATGTAACTAAAATCACGAAAATATATGGGGTCGTATATCGTGAACCTATAGAGGGTGAGATAAAAAAACTGCAACCAACTTCAGACTGCTGTCATTTCTAAGCCACTCGTCCGACAGACGTTAAACTTATTCCAGTGACGGCTCATTATATTGTTTAAAAGCGTACAAAAGCATTTTGGAGAGAATTTTCCAGAAAAAAAGTTATTCGTGATAGAATTCAAGCGTGATAGTGTGATTTCTTTATGTTTGGCTTGAAAATCACAAGTGGTTATCGCTAAGCACTCCAGCATTCAAATGTGAATAAATCTTTCGTCTCTGGTACCATCGCTCGTTACAAAATGATCGTGTTTATTGCCGAAGAGGTCAGCTGAAAATGGTGGTGTGGGCCGCCATAAAAGCCAATGATCGCTCTCCACTCGTATTAATCGACCGTGGCATCAGAATAAATGCCGAATATTATCGCGAAAATATTCTGGATGGTGTATTAAAGCCTTGGGCACGCAAACATTTTGGCCCCAGACCTTGGACATTCCAACAGGACTCAGCACAATCGCACTCAGCACGCGCCACACAAGAATGGTTTCAAAATGAGGTTCCTCGCTTCTTTTCCAGCGCACAATGGCCACTAAAATCTCCGGATACCAATCCGTTGGACTATTGTATGTGGAGTATTTTGGAAAGCAAGGTTGGCACTAAAATATACCAAAGAGCCGATTACCTCAAGCAAGCGCTTCGCCGGGAATTGGACAAAATACCGCAGAGCAACATTCAGGCAGCATGTGACGGTTTTATTGGCCGTTTGAAGGCCATTATTTGTGCCAAAGGTGACCAATTCGAACAAATCTAAACTTATTCTAAAATTTGATGCTATTTCCGAAATTCAATAAAAATTAAAAAAAAAATGTAAAAACTATGGCGTTTGACTTTGCTGCAGTTATATATATACCCTACACCACATAGTGATAGTAAGGGTATTATGTGTTTGTGCATTTGTTTGTAACATGGAGAAGGAAGCGAGATAGACCCATAGTTACTTTTGAGGATCTCCATAGAATCACTTTCTAAGTTGATTTATGCATGTCAGTCCGTCCGTCCGTCTGGCCATGTATTCTTGTGAACAAAATGCAGGTCGCATTTATTATCCAATTGAGATGAAATTTTGCAAACAGCATTTGTTTGGCCCAAGGACGAACCCTATTGAAATTGGAGATAATCGGTCAAAATTTAGATGTAGCTCCCATGTATATGTTCGTCCGATTTACCTTTTATTGTGCACCAAACGTGTAATATCAGCCCGAATTGTATGGAATTTTGCACAAACAACCAAATTAGGCCTAAAAATAAGTATGCCAAATTTTATCGAAATCGGTTCAGATATAGCTATAGCTCCCATATATGTTGTTCATCCGATTTGTTATTTTTGTCCTTCGCAGCCGTAATATGCACTCTGTAACAACAATATTTGGGGAAATATATCAAATGCAGCTCAGAAAAAACATTTGGTAAATTTTATCGAGATCGATTCAGATTTGGATATATCTCCCATATGTAACTTCGACCGATTTACCTTTTATTGTGCACCAAACGTATAATATTTGCTAAAATGTGAAGAAATTTGGTATTTACGACCGAATTGAGTCTAGAAGCTAGTATGTCAAATTTGGTGAGGATCGGTTCAGATATAGCTATACCTCCCATATATATTGTTCATCCGATTTTTTAGTATTTGTTACCCACAGCCGTAATATGCACTCCGCTACAAAGATATTCAGGGAAATATATCAAATTAGGCCTGAAAATAAGTATGCCAAATTTGGTCGAAATCGGTTCAGATATAGCTATAGCTCCCATATATATTGTTCATCCGATTTGTTATTTTTGTCCTCCGCAGCCGTAATATGCACTCTGTAACAACAATATTTGGGGAAATATATCAAATGCAGCTCAATTTTTATAGAGATCGGTTCAGATTTGGATATAGCTTCCATATATATCTTTATTTGATTTCAAATTAATTTTACACCAAGTGGGCAATACAAGTCCGAATTTAAAAGATACAAATGCTTCGGCATATTTAGTCCTTTGAACTTTAAATTATAATTATAATCATAGGGTGTATGATTGAATTTTCCCATAAAAACTTTAATTGTTATGAGGAGCTCTACTAGATTAGCAAAGTGGTGTAGGGTATGAAAAAGTCGGCCCAGCCCGACCTTAGGACTTTCTTTACTGGTTTTATCTCACCATGAATAGGCAATTCTATTTCAGCGGGTAAGACAATTCCATTGAAAAATATGGGTAAAATTATTAAAATACCGAATATTAGGGGTACCGTTATATGGAGGCTAAAGGATATCGTGGTCCAATAGAACCCATCTTCGAACTTGACCTGCCTGCAGATAAAAGACTGATCTGTGCAAAATTTTAGCTTCCTATCTCAATTCGTTTTGACTGTAGCGTGATTGCAACAGACGTACAAACAGGGCTAAATCGTCTTAAAATATTACGCTGATGAAGAAGTTGGAAATAATCCAAAGAAAGTTTGAGTAACATATGAAAATAATTAGTTTGATTTATTCCATAAAAACAACTGACCGAATCAGGTGGTGGAAACATCTAAAACACAATAAGAGTATCACAATATGTCATAAATTGCACAAATAACCAGAATTGTCTTTTAATTCTGCTCTTGTGAAAAGTTCTGAATTAAAATCGGAATGCCAAGCATAATAATGGTACTCAATCTTCATCATATGTTGAGGTGGGAGAAAAAATAATCCAAAACATAGCTTTCCTCTTCTATTATTATACGTTTTGTTTTCAAGTTGGAAATATTGTGTGGATAGTATATTCACCAACCATAAAAGGCGACATCTACATGTGGAATTGCAATAAAGTTGGAATTAAATCAACCCCCTTTTAAATGAATATTCCAAGCAGCCAATCACAACACAGGCAACTGTTACCAATTGGAATGGAGAACAAGAAAAATGGTGTTATAACTTTCCAACCCTCATTTTCGTCAAACATTGCACATAACATCATATAAGAATTTATTATTACCCAAATTTCAAGTGCATTTTAATTGAAACTCTCAAATAGAAAAGACTGAACGGAATACATACAAATAGACCAAAAGCAAAACGATTCTAATAAGATTTGCATAGGGAAATAGTGGAACCAAAATAACCTTGCATATCGAAAGTCCATTAAATAAAAGTCATAAATAATAAGTTATATTAAATTAAACATAAAGCAGTACCATGCAACATCCGCCGGAATCTGCTTACATGTCGGAAGTACCATTTCAACCACTGTGGGCCCCAGAAACGGCTCCACCACCACCTCCACCAATTGTGCCCTATCAGGATTTAATAACCGGATTCCCTTGCAGTGATTTGGGTAAGATTTTCATAAATCTACTTGGGAAGTGATATGTTTATTTATAGAAATTTGATTATGAAGAATAAGAAATTTTGGGAGAAAATCTGGAACATTCACCAAGAATATCTGCGCATATACATACACACGCTGTTACATAGGAATAACAAAAAGAAAACTAAGCATTGAATGCTTCCAGAACTTGCAAAATGTAACAGTATTACTACGATTTCTCTTTATGATGTCTAAAAATCGCAAAACTATTATGGTTTTTCAGATTTTGCAACAGAGCATATAAAAACTATAATCGGAATGGCACTATACAAAACCTAAGTTTATTCTTAACAAGTAAAAAAACATTAAGTTCGCCTGGGCCGAACTTTTATTATCCTCCACCGGAGCCAGGACCCATTATGAACAACAAACATGCATTTTGTGACAAACCCGTGGAAAAATGTGGCAAAAATCATAAAAATACTGAATATCAGGAAACACCGTTATATAGGCTATACAAAAATTTAATCGTATAAATACAACGTTCCTCCACCGGATGACCTACAAATACCAATTTTTAGACAAAACAGTGAAAATGTGGCGAAAATCATCAAAATACCGAATATCGGGAGGTACCGTTATATGAGGACTACACAAAAACGTGGACCTATACATACAATGTTGCGCTACCGGAGCAAGAGACCATTATGACATACAAATACCATTCTTCGACAAATCCGTAGAAAACAAGTTAGAAAAAATCAGTCGGTTTTGCCGACAGATGTATACCCTCAGCCAAGGTTCGATTATTTAAATATATTTTGACTTCTTAACTAAATTATCAATTAATCAAATAAATCAATATTAACCCCTTCCATTACAAAGGAATGGGTTATTATTGACCATTTCGTGTCAGACCTGAATACATATGATATAAGTATTACGACGTGCCCTGTTTGGCTACTTCCTTCACTTTATATGTGATACTTTCTTCAAAATGTTGAAATGTGCTTGAGTTAACAGATATAGTCGACGGACGTATTCCATTTTCATGCTTTATCTAATAAATATAAAAATATTTAATATAGGCAAAGATACAAGAAAATCGAACATTTACATCCAATTTATGGGAAATCATAAATTCCATATTCATCTCAGGCTTTTTTCATCTTTATATATAGCAAATTGTAAAGAATCGCTGACTTGTATTGAAAATTGTGATCCTTTGTGGGTGAGGTACCAGAAGGGGTTCGCAGATATATAATCTTCACAACCGATGTTATATCAACAAAAATGTTTGTAGCTGTGAAATTTAGCGGTTTGGTTTCCAAAATCTTGAACCCTATGTGGGGCAGGTAGAAAAAGAAATGGTCCGATCTCTCTATCTTTATAACAGATCTTGAGTTCATGGAAATATTGAGATGTACCAAGTCTGGAATGGAATCGGATGTTAATTTCGCTTTTTATGAGCTTCATGGATATTCAAAATTTTAAGCCTTGGTGGGGGAGGTACCGGAAGGAGTGAATCGATATATCCCATCTTTACAAGAGATCTTGCGTATAAAGAGAACCTAATGCTCATCGCGTTTTATGCCTTTCATGGATTTTTAAAATTTCGGCTCTTTGTAGGAGAGGTATCAGAAGGAATGGTCCGATCCCTACCGTTTTTATAACATATCCTGTGTTGATGGAAATATTCAGATGTCCCAAGTCTAAATGGAAGCGGATGGTAATTTTGCGTTTTATAAGCCTAATGGATATTCAAAATTTCTACCTTTTGTAGGGGAGGTAAAAGAAGGAGTAGACTGATATATTCCATCTAAACACCAGACCTTGGGTTAATAACATTATTGGGATGTGTGAAATTTGAAGACAATCGGACCCTTACATCACATTTTATAAGAGTTGTCATTTTTCAAAATTTTCACCCTTTGCGGGGGAGGTACTTGATGGAGTGGACCGATATTGTCCATTTTTGCACCTGACCGAGAACTGAGGCAAATATTAGGATTTTCAAAGTTGGAGCAAAATCGGATTATCGTTTCTTTGTCTGTGCAAAAAAAATGTATTTTTTAAAAATTTCGACCTTTTGTGGGGGAGGTACCAGAGGGAGTAGACCGATATATTCCATCTTAACACCAGACTTTGGGTTAATAAATTTGTTGGGATGTGTGAAATTTGAAGACAATCGAACCCTTACATCACATTTTATAAGAGTTGTAATTATTCAAAATTTTTACCATTTGTAGGGGAGGTACTTGATGGAATGGACCGATATTGTCCATTTTCACACCTGTTCTAGTACTGACGCAAATATTAGGATTTGCAAAGTTGGAGCAAAATCGGATTATTCTTTCTCTTTCTGTGCAGAAAATATATTTTTTGAAATTTTCGACCTTTTGTGGAGAAGGTACCAGAAGGAATGGACCGATATTACCCATCTCCGAACTCGATCTAAGTTTGATAAAAATATTACAAATGTACAAAGTTTGGACCAAATCGTATACTCCCTTCGAGAGTTATCGTACACACCAGCCAGCCAGTCACACGGACGGACGGACGGACATCGCTAGATCGACTACAAATGTTCTGAAACGGATTTGGTCCAAAGAGACCTAGGGTCTAAAACCGTTATTTCCACTAGGCACATTTTGACCGTATCAAAATCTATATACCCTCTGTAGCCATATGACTGAGGGTGTAAAAAAATTCACTATGTAGATTCACGTTTTCATATATCCCCATATAACGGTACATCCCAATATTCGTTATTTTAATGATTTTATCGACATTATTCACTGGAATTGTTTCAAATTTGGTATTTGAAGTTCGTAATGGGCACTACAGCCTATGACAAAAACGTTCGTAAGCAGGCCCACGTTTTCGAATAGTCACCATATAACAGTTTTAATTTCTTTCCAAATGGTGGAATGTATTAAAGGTTCGGTCCGGTCGAACATACCTGCTTTTTTACTTGTTTTTTTTTTTTTTTTTTTTTTTTTTTTTTTGGTATTCGCAATACATTATATGTTGATCGGTTTAAGCTTATATAAATGTTGAATATCATACAAAGCGAAGGTAGTGCCGAATCTTTGCATATTAAACCTTTTGTCGGTTGTTTATACCCATGGCGGTCTGTTAATCTGTCAAGAGACAGTCCAAGTTTTTTTTTTTGTGTAGAGCTTTGACAACTCTCAAAAGTTTTTAAGGGCTACAACGGCCCACGTTAAGTTATTCGTATATTTGGTATTTTGAATATTATAAAAGAATACCAACTCTTCATATTGTTTCTCATTGAGTGAAAATCCCAAAACGAAATCAGTTCATATTTTGATATAAGTCCTATATAGCGGTTCCAAATGAAATGTGTGTAAGTCGTGTCATTTAAATTATTCCTTTATTTCATAGACATTGATTTTTCTGGACCCAACCATGCGTTATATGGTTCACGAAAGTATTTTCCAATAATATTGTATGCCTAAAAACGTATGTGTGTATATCCTATATTCAAAAATTAGGATTAATGTGCATGCTTATATCTAGATGTGTCGTAATAACAAAAAATTCTCTTTGACATTTCCAGCTCTCTGGCAACGATCTCAAGTGGGCACGATTGTAACCCCACGTCCCAATGGCAGTGGCCGGCATGTCAATGGAACATCATCGACCAATCCCAATCCCACTAAGAAAACACGTCGCCGCACGGCATCGTTGGCTCAGCGCAGAGCAGCTAATATTCGCGAAAGGCGACGAATGTTTAATCTGAATGAAGCATTCGACAAACTTCGACGTAAAGTACCAACATTTGCCTATGAGAAGCGTCTATCACGCATTGAAACGCTGCGTTTGGCCATAACATACATTGGATTTATGACTGAACTACTTACCGGAACTCCAATGAAACGTTCAACGGATATTTACGGCTCCATGAATGGTCATGCTCCGCACCATCACCCAGCTGCAATGGCCCATCATTTGCATCCAGTTGCTTTCCAAAGAGATTTTGTATCGCCATATGGCCACAGTTTGGCTTAAATTAAGTGGGAAGAATTTACGTAATTTAATGTATGATTTCTTTGTTGATTATTGTGTAGAATTTTGTAAATTACATTTATTTCAGAATTTGAAATAAACTTCATGTGTCTTTGAGAAAAAAAAATTGATTGAAAATATTAATATTAGTAATACACAGTAAAATAATGCACAGTGGTGCTTGTATAAATACCGATTCAAAATGCATTTTTTTTTTTTTTTTTTTTTTTTGTAAAAATTATCTTTATTTATCTTCAAATTCACATCAAACTGAAGAGCCCCCAAATATGGGGGTATGAGCCGATTTTACGTATATGAAAAATTGTAACCACCTCTTTCATCCGAATCTATGGTTTCAAACATCATTTTTAAATATTCCACATATTATTTGGGAAAATTTCAATTCAATTCTCCACGCGTTATAATTCAATATGTTGCATATTCAACAAGTAAGACATACACTCTCGGAAAAAATTGTACACCCTGTTAAACATTATCATCTTTCTCCACTTATAAACAATAATAATTTTTACATTTTATTTAATGAAAGCAAAAAATGTCGGAAATAGCGTCAAATTTTAGAATAAATTTAGATTTGTTCGAATTGGTCACCTTTGGCACGAATTATGGCCTTCAAACGACCAATTAAACCGTCACACGCTGCCCGAATGTTGCTCTGCGGTATTTTGGCCCATTCCCGGCAAAGCGCTTGCTTGAGGTGATCGACACTTTGGTATTTTTTAGTGGCAACCCTGCTTTCCAAAATACTCCAGACACAATAGTCCAACGGATTGGTATCTGGAGATTTTGTGGCCATTGTGCGCTGGAAATGAAGCGAGGAACCTCTTTTTGTAACCATTCTTGGGTGTTGAGTGCGATGGTGCTGAGTCCTGTTGGAATGTCCAAGGTCTGCAACCAAAAAGTTTGCGTGCCAAAGGCTTTATACACCCTCCAGAATATTTTCGCATTTTGTTTGGCAACACACTGCTGGACAACAAATGTTTTCTCATCGGAGAAAACCAATTTTTTTGCTTGAATTCAGCTGTCGGACGAGTGGCTTGGAAATGACAGCAGTCTGAAGATGGCTCCAGTTTTTTCATCTCACCCTTTATATTAAACATCTTCTGATCTTCATCTTCTTCAGAACGAAGAAAACAAAAGCATGAAAGAAAACGATTGGAAAATATGGCATGACTCCCATTAGAAATACAATCAGGGGATATTTTGTAAAGGGCTGCAGCAAAAGCTGGAATTGCTAGAATTTTTGAATACATTGGAAATAAGGGTTTCTTTTTATGAGGCATATTTTTGTTTTTGAAATCATCCTTCTAAAATGATGATTTTTTGGAGATTTTTGCACAAATTATGAATTCCTGGCGTTTTGGTATAGCCCCCATATAACGGTACCTCCCGATATTCGGTATTTTGATGATTTTTGCGACAATATTCATCGGAATTGTTTCAAATTTGGTATTTGAAGTTCGAAGTGCATCCTACAGCCTGAGACAGACATTTATCTGTGCAGGTCCACGTCTTCGTTTAGCCCCCATATAACAATACCTCCAAATATTCGGTTCTTTGTTGGTTTTAGCGACATTATTCAACGGAATTCTTTCAAATTTGGTATTTGAAGTTCCAAAGGGGTACTATAGCATAAGACAGAAAATTGTCAATGCAGGTCCACGTCTTCGTATAGCCTATAACGGTATCCCCCGATATTCGGTATTTCAAACAATATATTCCCATTATTTTTATCTGAAATTTTGCTGGGGACAATATATACATAATATGCACCAATTTCGAGGAACCCTAATCCGAAAATTTCCAAAAGTCTGAAAACGAGGAAGAAATTGCCCCCTCTATTTAGGTTACTTTGCAATGAAATCTTTCAAAACGCCAATGCACATGTCTTCTTTATTAGTTTTACTTTTATAATCGTATGTCTAAATATTGATTTTTGTGGGTCATAATGGGTTCTGGCTACGGTGGCGATTCGGTATTTTGATGATTTTTGCCACATTTTTTTACGGATTTGTCCAAAAATTGGTATTTGTAGTTCGTATTCTACCTCCTGTGGCGGAACATACTATGCATAGGTCCAAGTTTTCCTATAGCGCACATATAACGATACCCACTCACGAAATTATTTTAAATTAAAGATTTGGTATATGACAATCCTTGAAGTATAAAATTATCAATAGAGGTTCCCGTTTTGGTATGGCCCCCATGCAATGGCCTCACCCACGTCCGTCCGTCCGTCCATGTATTCTTGTGAAAAAAATGCAGGTCGCTATTATTATCCGATTGAGATGAAATTTTGCAAACAATATTTGTTTGGCCCAAGGGCGAGCCCTATTGAATTTGGTGATTTAGATATGGCTCCCATATATCTTCAACCGATTTCGGGTTAATTGTTGTGATGGCGAAAGTCGTTGCACTCGTTTTCGTCCCACAAATGTTACGTTATTGTTATTATCTGTTGAATTTATTTACTGTCAATTGTTATGAATTTTAAATAAAAATGAATTAGAATATAAAAAAAATATAAATTAATAAATGAATTCCCAACATAATTATCTGCCCTCGTTAAATATTTCCCTGCCTGATTCAGTGGCCCTCATTGATGTTTATACGTTTGGTGACATCAAAACAACATACCGTTAGGTCAATGCATTTCGTCGACGAGCAAAACAAGCGGCAACAACAAGCATGCGTAGCAGAATTGAATGCGTTGCTGATTGGAGAAAAACAAGTAGCAACAAAAAACCCTGCGAATTAGAATAGAGTGCGTGGCTGATGGGAAAATAATAACAACATGTCTTGTGACGCTAGGTGCTAAGGCGTTGCTGCTTGTTACAGGACAGAATCAATGACGATGGTATAAAAGGGAAAGTGATTGACGGATGGGGGATCAGTAAGTGAACCAGTGAAGTGAAGGCAACAGGTGTCAAGTACGCGAACTCCAAGAGAAATATTTACATAGCATCAAGACCGGAATATTGAGGTGAGTCAGAGTGGTGCTATAGTTTCCCAAGAACTTTTGAGGTGTCCGTAACCCTTGAGTCCCCGCGTCCGACCTATGAGGTGTTCGTAACCCTTGGGTTCCCTAGTATATATCGTGTGTTTTGACCTCTGAGGTGTCCGTAACCCTGGGTCCACGCGCTTAGCCCTATGAGGTGTTCGTAACCCTTGGGTCCTACAGCCAGTACCTCGTGTTTTGACCTCTGAGGTGTTCGTAACCTCTGGGTCCACGCGCTTAACCCTATGAGGCGTTCGTAGCCCTTGGGTCCTACAGCCAGTACCTCGTGTTTTGACCTCTGAGGTGTTCGCAACCCCTGGGTCCACGCGCTGAACCCTTTGAGGTGTCCGTAACCCTTGGGTCCAAGAAGTCTATATCCCGTGTTTAAACCTCTGAGGTGTTCGTAACCCTTGGATCCACGCGCTTAGCCCTATGAGGTGTCCGTAACCCTTGGGTCCAAGAAGTCTATATCCCGTGTTTAAACCTCTGAGGTGTTCGTAACCCTTGGATCCACGCGCTTAACCCTTTGAGGTGTCCGTAACCCTTAGGTCCTACAGCCTATGTCCCGTGTTTAACCCTCTGAGGTGTTCGCAACCCCTGGGTCCACGCGCTTAACCCTTTGAGGTGTCCGTAACCCTTGGGTCCAAGAAGTCTATATCCCGTGTTTAACCCTCTGAGGTGTCCGTTACCCTTGGGTCCACGCGCTTAACCCTCTGAGGTGTCCGTAACCCTTGGGTCCAAGAAGCCTATATCCCGTGTTTAACCCTCTGAGGTGTTCGTAACCCTTGGGCCCACGCGCTTAACCCTTTGAGGTGTCCGTAACCCTTGGGTCCAAGAAGTCTATATCCCGTGTTTAACCCTCTGAGGTGTCCGTTACCCTTGGGTCCACGCGCTTAACCCTCTGAGGTGTCCGTAACCCTTGGGTCCAAGAAGCCTATATCCCGTGTTTAACCCTCTGAGGTCTTCGTAACCCTTGGGTCCAAGTAGCCTATTTCCCCTGTTTAACCCTCTGAGGTGTCCGTTACCCATGGGACCACGCGCATAGGCCCGGGATTGTATTGAATTCCCTTACCGTTTCGCCCAAAATTAATTACCCAGGTCTCCAGCGAATGCTACAAGGAAATCGCCAAGGTAGAAGTACTGATCCAGGTCTTCTTGGATAATATATATTTAGGAGTACTTAGCCAGGTCTCCGCACACGCAGAGGACATCGCCGAAGCCCTGATTGAAGCCCTACGGTGTACTTAGCCAGGTCACCGCGATAATTGGAAACCCGCTTGCAGTTCTTATTTATAGACATAGAATATAACTGTCACCTAAGATCCTCAAACAATCCTAAATAAATCAATTGAGAATTGGCTTAAAATCCAAATAATTTGTGTTATTACTCTCTCGGTCACTTATATAAATTTCTGTGGCAGACCCTAGCCCCCGGTGAGCTAACCCCAGCAACCAGAGGAATTTGTGTCGTTACATTGTGCACTAAATGGCCTATATAAGTCCCTATGACTTGAATTTTGGCATATCCGATCGAATTCAGTCTAGAAGCAAGTACATCAAATTTGGAGAACATCGGATCAGATATAGCTATAGCTCTCATATATATGTTTCATCCGATTTGGGGTTTTAGGTCCCTCACATTCGTAATATGTACTCCATAAGAATGATATTTGGTACCGGACACCAGATATTGCACGAAAATACCTCTGCCAAAATTTGTCAAAATCGGTTCAGATTTGGATATAGCTCCCACATATATCCTCAATCGATTTCAGGTTTTTTTTTGTGCAAATAATGTCTAATATCAGCCTAAATGAAGTGAATTTCGGGACGTACGTTTCTATTTTATGCAACTCGACTCCGATATATATTTTATAATCCTTCTCGACGTGATATCATGCACTCTATAGCAAACTATAACTGCTTTAAAGCCAAATGTTGATAGGCGGTATGATCTACTTGAAATAAATTCTTTTGTTACGTGAGCTCTAGTACATATGCATAGTGG